TAAGCATTCCATTGTTAAACAACAACACTTAGTTACCTATGTTTAATTAAAACTAATAAAGAAATCATAATGGTCGTGGACAAAGTATATTATTAAACGAGCAATTTATGGTAGCCATTATTTACGCAGGGTAACGTTTGCGTCCCGAGCCGTAGGCGAGGGGCGCAAGTCACCCTAGTGAAAAATGGCCATAAATTGCGAGTGTAATAATATACTATTTAATACTTAGACACTATCATAACTCACACTTCTAATTTATTTATTTATTTTACAATTTATCTTTATTACACACCACTTATATAGAAATGTAACGTCTACCAACAAAATCGCGCTATATAAAGCCAGCTCTGCTGGAGTAGATTCTTGGTGGTCTAGAATCTTTGGGAATTATTTCTCTATGAGTCAGTCGGCGCGCAAAAAATTACTATGGTAATTTCTCGAAAGAGTGCGTTTGTCTCTGTCCTGCGTTATCCAAACATTAATATATTATACATTTAGATTCAACCATTTGAGATCATGATATGTTTTAGATCATATATTTTTCATTAAAATTTGTTAAATCAAAAGTCCTCATTGTATTTTTTGAAATGGTTAGATATTTGAACAAAATGATTTCGATTAAAAAAAACGAAGAAAATTACTTTCGAACAAAATGTGTTTGAACTAAATAACTTTCGAACAAAATGTTTTCGAACAAAATTCCTTCGAACAAAAATTTTCGAACAAAATTCTTCGATACTTGTTCTTAGTTGTCCACTTTCTTTGAATTCTGCTCTATTGCAGTGAGATCATTTTGCTGGTTACGGTCTTCTAGAAAGAGAATCGGCATTCTCTGACTTATTTTGGCTCTATGTTTGATCTTAAAGTCTTTCGATCCTTCTGGTGATTTGGCACTCCGGGTTCTTGAACTGCATCAGCCACTTAAGAGCTGCATGATCGGTCCGGATTAAAATTGTTCTTCATATAGGTATTGGTAGAAGTATTCCACTGCCGAGAGTTCTCTTCTCGTGACGCAGTAATTTCGCTCAGGTTTCGAGAGCACTTTACTAGTTTTAACCCAGTACTCTTTCTTTTCCTACATGAATCTGTGAAAGCACTCTTCCATTTCCCATATTAAGAGTATTAATATCCAGAATAAATTCTCCCTCTGGTAGTGGGTAGACTAGTACTGACGCTGTTGTTAAATACTTCTTTAAAGTATCAAAGACAGTTTGACAGTCTTCGTCCCAGCAGAATCTCTCGCTTCTTCTATGAGTCGTGTTTTAATGGCTTAGCAATATCTGCGAACTTCCTTATGAATCTTCGGTAGTACGTACAGAACCCAAGAAAACTTCTTATTTGATGTTTATCAGTTAGTTGGTGCCATTGTGTGATGGAAGCGATTTTATTCTTATCTACAGCTACGCCATCCTTGCTAACTATATGGTTCAGGTAATTAACTTTTTTTTGAAATAGCTGGCGTTACTTGGGGTTTAGTATCAGTTGGGCTGCTTGAAGTCTTTCAAAAACATCTAAGTTCTTTAGATGTTCATCAAATGTCTTCTCCAAGACACCAGGCATGATTTTCAGGATAACCCTTTCAATACGTTTTCCATAAGTCTTTCAAATGTCGTGGGGGCATTACATAATTCAAATGAAATAACATTGAATTGTCACAAACCAGATCCGGTGGTAAAAGCTGTCTTTTCTTTATCTACTGGATCTATTTCCACCTGCCAATATTCAGATTTCAAGTCTAAGGTAGAAAATAGTTTATTTCTGGCCAATGTGTCCAAGACATCGTCGATTCAAGGCAGAGGATAACTGTCTTTCTTGGTAACATTTTTCAACTATCTCCCTTTACTGCTACTGGCACGGTACTGTCCCTATATGGATATAGGAATAGCTCTTCGTCACCAACTTTGGGGATTATTGTTCTTAAAGTCTAACTGGAAGCCATGTAAATTCATTACATCCATTCCTAGCATAACATATTGTTTGATATCAGCGACACTAACAGTATGAGTGAACTTTTTTGTATCAATTCCTAATTGAGTCTGAATTTTGTAATGGATATTGGCACTTTCACATGTGGCAGTCTGCAGTCGCAACCTTTATGGTAAAAGTCTCTTGAGGTTATTTATGGTTGTTGGTCGTATAATGGTCCTGGTTGCTCCAGTATCCACCAACAGTGTATACTTTTTACCATTTACTTCGCCGTCTACGTATACACTATCATCGCGACATTTCAAAGAGGCTATCAGTATGAGATGGTCTTTGGAACGGTTTCGGGTCAAAGCTGCCCCTTCTAGGCCGACACGATCTAGTTTTCCTGTGGCGTATTGTCTTCATTTGTTGGGACTTTGGGGCGTTTGCGCTAAATGCGTACATGTCCCAGTTCACCACAATTACCAGCACCTCATGGTTTGTTCTTCATCTTTTTATCAGTTATCATGTTAACCAATTGGTTGAGTTTATTCTCCTCTTCTTCCTCTTTTACAGTCCTCACTTTACTGGATCCACCAGAAGCTTGCGTAGTTGCCTCATACTCTAAAGCAGTGAACAAGACATCGACCAATGTTTTGTGATGGACCAAGCGGAGTATTTTCTGCATCTCGCGTTCACGGAGTCCATTAACAAATGTGTGGACTGACAAACATTCCATAGTGTTTTCTAGACCTGTTGGGTAGGCAAATCGCCCCAACCTGACAGTATCCCAGGCAGCAGACTGACGACATTTTGACATTTTTTGGTAATTCTTGGTCATCGACGTCATGTTACCAAAAAAATGAGGTGATTATGACGTCACTTCTTTAACGCCTTTTTGACGTCACAAATTCGACGTCAGTGTGACGTCAATTTATTGTCACTATTAAATTAAGGTTTATATTAAACGTGATTTCAATACATTTTATTTATATAATATGATATGGCCTAAACAATTATTTAATTATTTAAAACTCTTAGGTCTATTAACTTTAAATCTGGAGCTTAAAATGCATAAAGATTGTATGACACCACGTGACACATGACTGCGTCTGTCTGTGGTTATCGGTCTGTGGCTTAGATAAAAGAAACAAGTCTGTGGAGTACTCCTCGTGTGTGTTCGAGGCGTTCGAGCAAGCACGAGAACGGTATCGCAGATTGTTGCGTCGGCCATGTGTAATGGTGTGTGCATCGTAGATCGTGGCCTGTGTGTATTCAGGATTGTTGTTAAAAGCTAAGAGAAGGTCAGTGAAAAAAGTTATATCAGTATCAACCCAGCATAAGGTATTTTTATATCCATATTTTTCTTATTCTTTAATGATTTTATATCTTTTACATTTATAGGATGTTTTCTAAAATGTTCCCAGGTTCGTGAAATAGTATAAAATGGCGGCACTCATAGAAAAATCAAAGCTAAAATAATAACGAACAAGTTGGCCACATTTGGAGCAGTTGGATTTATATAAATTAATGTTTTGTGCCAATAACATTTCATGTTTCTTTTCTTTTTTTCTTTTTAATTATAATTATTTCATTTTCTAATTTTGTTTTATTAAGTGAGACACAGTTCCTATAGAAAAGTTATTACAAAGGAGTAAAAATATCAAATGTAACATCATGGTGACGTCTCAAATAACGACAAATGTCACATTAAAACAACGTTATAAAAACGTGATAATGACGTTATAAAGACTGCTAGAAAACATCATAAACACGTCATATTTAGACGTGAAAAGGACGTCTAAATATGACGTCATTTGGGCTGTGACATATTTTACGGTCATTATCACGTTAGATTTCAGAGGATAAATGACGTCTTGTATGACGAAAATAAGATGTGATAATGACGCCAGTCTGCTGCCTGGGATCTACTTCATATTTTTGAATAGTCTCGTCTCGTTTCTGTTTGCAGTTCTTTAGCTTTGATTGATACAAATGTTCCAAGTGATCGTTGCCATATCGCATGTTTAGTCTCTTTTTGACTTGTTTAAAAGCATCTATCTCTTCCACGGATATAGTCTGATTGATATCCAAAGCGTTTCCTCGATGGGCGCTGCCTGGTCAAATTTACTGTCTTCTCTTGTTCAGACCACTCATTTGCTCTAGCAGCTGTTCCGAACTGTTTAAGGTAGTTCGTCTATGACATCTTCCCGTCGAAAGTTTGGGCTTTAAGACGAGTAGAGTACAGTTTCTTCTAATTTCAACTTTGACTCCACCTCATGGCACTTATTTCACTATACTGGCCTGTTCTGTATGTTCCAGTTCTTCTATCGTCTCCATCTCTTTGATTTTCTCGGTAGGCTAGAATATCTGGGAATTCTTCCTCTATGAGTCAGCCGGCGAGCAAAGATTTCTGTGGTAACTTCTCGAAGGAGTGTGATATCGAAACGTAGACGAAGCGGCGGCTTGTAACGGCGAGAGGACCAGGATCGGCTTTAGGTAGTTGCACGACTTCACATTTCTTAAAAAAATTGTTCTTGCTAAATAGTTCTGCATCCTGCATTACTTACAAATTCATAATCAAACATATTTTGTAAAATAAAGGTGGTATACAAGAGAAATATAAAGGTTCTTTTTTTAGAAGTTACTGAATACTTAAAATTAAGTGATGCCATCTTTTTTTTTAAATGTATATATGTATATATTACTTTTGCAAACACATTGTATAATAGATGGCAACGTGCTCTTTGAGCACGTTGTTAACAACAAAGTGTATTCAGATATTGTGTGAAACAACGTAACAATCTATTGTACAGTATGTCCCAAAAAAATTATACATATGAAAAAAAAGAAATAGAATGTGGTTCATGCATGATGGCGTGTTATACAGTGTATCTCAAGAAAATTATAAAAATATTTTTAAATACTTATACAGAAAAAAACGTTAATAACAGAGGGTTCCGAAGTGAGAAAAAAAATATTTGTTAGATTTCATCGGACGCTCGACTTTATTTAAAGGTCTTAAAACTGTTTAATTTTTATCAAATATATTGCTAAAGATTTACTAAATCAATTATTTTCTTGTGTGCTTTTAGGTGAAGCGGTTTCGTATGGAAACCAAAGCAGCAAAAACGCTAGCCATCATTGTAGGCGGATTCATTTGTTGCTGGTTGCCTTTCTTCACCATGTACCTTGTACGAGCCTTCTGTCACGATTGCATACACCCCATACTATTTTCTACTCTCTTCTGGCTGGGATATTGCAACAGTGCCATAAACCCCCTCATCTATGCTCTATTTTCCAAAGATTTTAGGTGCGTATTCGCTAATATATATTATTAATCAAAATAAAATACAATCAGAATAAATTCGATATATTTATTTATTTATTTTTTCTTTAGATTTGCTTTCAAGAGAATCATCTGCAAATGTTTTTGTACAAAGCGTCAACGAGGCTCCAGAAGAGGCTCGGATGGATCACAGCTTCAAGGCAAAAATTTAAAGTCCACTAGTTATAATATACAGGCTCAAACAAATTCGATAGGTGACGACAGCGACCCTGGAGGAGATATCACAGACTACAGGTAAAGTCATATGTCATCTTTTGTAGGGTGTTTTTCCCTACCCAAAAGTAAGACAATGGTTTGTTTCGAATATACGTGTAACAATTTTTTTATAATTTTTCAAAAAAGTTTCTAAAAATGGTTTATTTCATATAAAAATAAATGTTTTAGGTGACGTACTGCCAAAAAGGGAATAAGTAAGATGCACACTGAAAAGGAGTCCGTTCTGAAAGTCGCCATATGCGTAATGGTTGGCTGACAAAGTGAAAATTTTGATACGGGAAACACTTTGGTATAGATTTTATGTCTGACTTTCCAAACGAGTGTTTGAAATTGAAAAATGTATATTGAATTGTATATATTTTCGAAAATATTGTAATTAAAATAACATAAATAAAGTAATTGTGACTTAACTTAAGTTCATGTATGTAATTTAAAAAAAAAATATGACTATAATAATTATAGACTGTTCAAATCGTTAATAAATTAGGGTAAAATTATTAGGTATTATTTATTATATTGTATTATTTAAATTGAATAGGTAATCGTTTAAACCATTTGTGTCTGTAAAATTATTAGTTAAATAAACGAAGTTTTAATTTACAGTTTTAACATTATTGAAATTATATCGTCCCCTTAGTGCAACAACTAGATAACTTGAAATTTATAGTTTTGAGAAAATCCACTTTAAAGATTCAAAACGCAAAAAAATACACCTGTTAAGTAATCAAAAATATTTAATATCTATACAGATATGTTGCATATCAAATTATGATTTGTTAATTTTGGAAATAATTAGGTTTTATATCTTTGCAGAATTTAATCAAAAACTTGAGATATCTAGTTGTTGCTGAAAAAAGAGTAGTTATCTATTTATAACCACTAACAATTAAACGCAATTCACCTAATAAATACAACTTTATTTTGAATAAAAAATTAACAAAATTAGTTTAAATAAAACCCAAAAGATTCCACCCTTGATACAACTTAAGTGTCAATATCAATGATGCCGGTTTGGGAATCTTCCATGTTTTAAGGCCGTTTACGTTGGTCTCCTTGGAATGGAAGACTTTCAAAAATGCTTTATACTCGCTAGGGAGGGCCGGAGGATTCATTTTGAACAAAGACATAGGGTCGCCATATTTTTTTTAAGTGGTAGTTGACTTTTTTTACAAAGGCTCTTATTATTTGAAGACGACATACATGTTTTACGTTTAAAATTTAGACGTCTAAACTCAACATCAAAATCTATAAAATTAATAATAAATGGCGTCGATTTTGAAAAGTTCAACCAGCATATTTTCTGCCCACTAACCAAGTTATGGCTTTTAAAAAGACAGCGTAAAAACAATTTAGCAGCAAAGAAACAAACCTGTTGTTTCAAGCACACAACTAGATATCTCATATCGACCAAGAAGGTGCCGGCAGATAACTCAATGATACCAGTGCTAAAACTAGATATCTCAAGATCTCTATACTCTGTTTTTAAACTAGGAGGAGCGAATTAAAAAGTCGCATTTACACAGGGAAAAGTCAGGGGGGGATATCGCGCATAGTGTCATGGCGGCGCTGACGTCATGCGTAGAGTTAGTAGAGTTGGCGCCAAGTAAATATCATATGACATATGCAGGTTGCAGTGATTTGTAAGTAATTAATAGTGATTTATAACATTTTATGCGAATATCTGTATTATATTATATTGTAAACAGTGTACTTTATGATTGGTATTAATCATAAACATTAAAAAATGAGGTACGCAGTTTAGGGATGTTACAGTAACAATCAAAGCAAAGGAGTTGAAAAAGACGTTGTTTTTTACATTCCTCGACAATAAGAGGTTAGTCAGAAATGGCCAAAGGGCGGCTCTAGTTGTAGGTCCCAGAGAGCCTCACCTCTTTCTTAATTAACATTTTTACATTCCATGAGACCTTTATTGAACAAATATACTAAAAAGGAAAATGTTATAGGCTATGCTACCTACTCCTCCTTGAAAATTTGACGAAGACGCCCTTGTAGTGGCCTGTGGCCGTGCAGATAACTTTAAAACAGAAAATTGTCTTGGGTGCTTCAAAAACTTTTAACCTTTTAATTATAGGATGGACCTCAAAGCAAAACATTCACGTTAGTTCATTCGCAACTCAGGACTGTTAACTGGAGACTCTACTCTTTTGAAAGCTAAAAATTTCGCAATATATAGCAAAGGTGAAATTATTTATGTCTTAAAAAAATAAAATTTCGGTATGTTGTACTTGATGATAGAATTAAAAAAACTATCAGTGACTAGGTCCAGGAAAAATGCAGTGACATTTTATTTTAATTTTGTATATACATCCACCATGTAGCAGTTATTTGTATTTGGTACATTTATGTTTATGCTTTGCATTATATTACATGTATAAAAAATATTTTTAAAAACCTGTTTTTGTTATCGCACTTATACATAAATTCCATCTTATTCATAAAATAAGTTGTTAAGTATATTCAATTGAGTAATATATTGTAGATAAATGAGTCATCAGTTGCGAATCCTTTTCAGGTAAACAGTCCCAAAGTGCGAAATTTTAACCCAGGGTCACCAGTTCAGAAATTCCAAGTTGGGAAGATACCCCTCTCATTATCCTGGTTATAGAAACTATTCTTTAGACGTCGAGTGTTCTTCTAAATTAAAACCTGCATTAAAATTTATATAACAAAAATAAATCATTAAAAAGAAAAAGGAAATGATACTTTAAATAAATATTTCTTTCATATATGTATTTGAGTTTATTTTCCTTTATAGCTCTTTTCTTAACTATCCCATAATAATATCCTTAGATATTTGATGTCACTTTTAAAATATTATTCTTTAATATTTATGAAATTTCTGTAAATAGCATTTAGTTTCTTCATACTTCGACAGTATTTTTAAATTCCCGCCTATACAAACTCTACGCATGACGTTATGCGCGTGGTCGTTCTATTTTTGACTCAGTTGATATCCTACCTTCTATTTTTTATACCATGGGGAAAAGTAACTAGATTCATTATTAAGAGCGTGTTCCGAAATATAGTCGTGTTCAAAATGTATGTAATAGTCTCAGAGAAAGTAAGTAGTAAAGAGAGGACAGTAAACAATGTTTGTGTCGCCATGATAATATGGTCGAGAATTCTAATTAGAGAGAAATAGATTAATATCTCTATCTCTTTGTTTGTATTTGTCAGTTTTACATAGATTTTCTCAGACAATTATTCCAGTGTTTCATTTAAATTTGTTCGTGTTGTGGTGTTAAAAGTAATTGTTATTAATATTATATTCATAACAAAAAAGTCATATTTTGTTTTCACTTCATTAAAAATGCACCTACCTACCTTTTAAAACATTTTATTTTATATTCTATTTGGTCAACATTTTCGCATTTAAAATGACCCAGCGAAATTGTTTTACGGTACGCTACTGCTGAGAATTCTAAAACGAGTGAGAAAGCCTTCATTAGAAAAAGAGATACTGATTATATGATAGCGAGATTAATATTAGGTTCTTTCGTTCGTCCCACTGGTGTAGTAATGAACTACACCAACCCACACCCATACCTTTCGTTTGGCCCGGTGTAAAACCCACTATACCTTCCTGTCGGCGATGTGGTTTACACTGGTGGATATTTTCTCTACGCAGCTATTTAGCAGGAGTAAATTACACTCGACGATGTGTATAAGGAATAAGGAGGAAGTAAATAAGGTGGTGTAACTGGTGTAATTTACACTGGTGGACACTACACCAATAGCGAACGAAAGAACCTATTGTATAACTTTATGCAGTGGTGGCACATACTTTGATTTTCTTTTAATATACGGAGAATGGTCGCACTGCGCAGCTTTCTGAGTGCCTTTTAAAAGGAGGTGGACGTGGGTTATTTCAGTTTAACCGAATGCCTTTGGACTCCATAATGCCCCTGCGACGTGGCAACGCCTTATTGATCAAGTTCTTGGACCCGAGCTGGAACCTAACGTTTTCACCTACCTAGACGATGTAGTAATTGTTACTCAGACCTTCGAGGAACATTTGGTTATTTTAGAGGAAGTTTTTAGGCGTATTAGGGAAGCCAATTTGACTGTTAGTTGGGATAAGGTTATTTTTGTCGTCCCCAATTGAAGTATTTAGGGTATGTTATAGATGGGACTGGACTTCATATGGATCCTGACAAGGTCAAGGCTATGTTGTTGTTACCTACGCCTAAATGTGTTAAAGATGTTCGTGGTGTGATAGGAACTTTCTCATGGTACCGCAGGTTTATTCCCGATTTTTCCACTTTGATTTCACCAATTACGGCTTTGTTGCGTAAGGGTAGGAAGTTTATGTGGACACCAGAGTGTGATGTTTCATTTGTTAAGATTAAGGAATGTTTGGTGAAGGCCCCTGTGCTAAGTTGTCCTGATTATAATTTTCCATTTGAAGTTCATTGTGATGCTAGTGGTTATGGACTTGGTGCTGTCCTCGTTCAGATTCATCCAGATGGGGATCGAGTAATTAGTTATTTGAGTCGTTCGTTGACTAAGCAGGAACGTGTTTATTCCACTACGGAGCGTGAATGTTTGGCTGTTCTATGGGCAGTAGAGAAACTTAGACCGTATTTAGAGGGTGTCTCATTTACAGTAATCACCGATCATTATTCCCTGGTTTGGTTACAAAATCTAAAGGACCCTGCTGGTCGATTAGCCAGATGGAGTGTCAAACTCCAACAATACGACTTTAAGATTGTTCATCGCAAGGGTAAAGTTCATGTTGTGCCGGATACTTTGTCTAGGGCTATACCGGATGTTGAGATTAGTGAGGTTTCTGTTGTTAAAGATCGTTGGTACAGTGGTATGATAGATAAGGTGTTAAAACACCCTATAAAGTACTCACAGTGGCGAGTCATTGATGGTAAGCTATTCAAACACATTAGAACAAATTAAAAGACTTTAGGAGATGTTGCTGACGATTGGAAAGAAGTTGTTCCTAAAGGGGATAGGCGAGGGATTATGCAACAATTGCATGATTTGCCTTTAGCTGGACACATGGGGGTGTTGAAAACTTTTAAGCGTGTTAGTGATAGGTTTTATTGGCCCAAACTTAGGTCAGATGTGGCTGCGTTTGTTAGGAATTGTTCGGTTTGTGCAGCGCATAAGGTTGACCTGATATTTTGCTTGCTGCTGTCAGTGTCAGTGAATATTATTTTTGAAGTCACAATTTATTGCTAAAGAATCAGTTAGCTCACTCGGACCAGTTGAAAGTTCCAAAATAACATCCACTCCAGGGATACAAATTCAGGATACGCAGAAGACTGCTGTTTTATTATAGGCGGTTGTCATATATTGTATTATCCGAGTTGCACAGTGTATAAACTGAAACAATCAGATCAAAAGTGCCGACGCAGAGTGAGCGATCTGATTCTTTAGCTGTAAACTGTGTCACAGGGTTCAAAATGGCCGCGCCCTATGTTGGGCGTGTCGGATTTCTCTCTTGCCTCGTAT